AGAGAGGGAGAGATACTGAGGGAGGGGGAGGGAGAAGGAGGAGAGGGAGAGGAGACGGGGAGAGAGGGAGGAAGGGAGAAGGAGGGAGGGAGAAAGTGAGGGAGAGGGAGGGGGAGAATGACAGGGAGAGGGAGGGAGGGAGAGAGGAGAGGGAGGGAGAGGGAAAAGGAGAAGGAGAAAGTGAGGGAGAGAGTGGGAGAGAGTAGGAGGGGGAGAGAGAGAGAAAGAGACATTCATTGTTTGTTTGATTGATTGATTGATTATGGAGCGGTGGCCTATCTGGGTGAAGATCTGCTCCTCCAGAGGTCCTCCAGGGAACAGTTTCCGCCTTCTCATTCCAGGGAGAGTAGATCTAGGACAGGTTGAAATGGGGCTGGTTAGAGAAGGTACAAAACCTTCAAATGGCACATGACTGACCCTTAGTGGCTTCTGTGCAAAAACAAAGTATGCATATTGGTGGCTATCCGACGTCAACTTCCTGTGTAAATATATATTCACCTCCTGCTATTGTGGTCCTTTAAAGTCAACCTCTCTCTCTCTACGAACCCCTTAAGATGTGCGCTGATCCCTCCTCCCGGGAGGAGGAAAAGCTGGCTGCCAGCTTGCTATCCCGTCATTTCATTTCATTATTTTAAGAGCAAGTGTACCCAGTGGATAGGATTTAAACCAGCATTAATACCCACCTTTCCACCAATTTACTTTTAATGACCGTCCGAGATTAACATCCATGAAGCTGCAAGACTCAACCTTGGCTGAGCACCTCTGGATTCTGGGATGGACCTACCATCTAGTGCAGGGGTCTTCAAACGTGGCCCTTTGATGACTTGTGGACTTCAACTCCCAGAATTCCTCAGCCAGGCTGAGGAATTCTGGGAGTTGAAGTCCACAAGTCACCAAAGGGCCACGTTTGAAGACCCCTGATCTAGCGGTTCGTTTTATTTTTCAGAGAAATGTAAATAGTCCTTTCCTCTCCTTCATTGATAGTTCCAATGACCGGCTTCACCCAAAGGGCTACCATTGATCCGGAACTGAACGAGATCCACGTGCTCTCCGGACTGAGTAAAGACAAGGAAAAACGGGAAGAGAACGTTCGGAATTCCTTCTGGATTTACGACATCGTCCGAAACAGCTGGTAAGCAGATTGTGGGGTTTTTTTTTCTTCTTCTTCTCCTAAGTCTCTTTTCGCCTTGTCCGGATTAATAGACAAGAGGGCAGATTGTCTGTTTTGGGAATTTGCAGGTGGGGAATGGAAAGATTGATACCCCTGGCAGACAGCTGGTCATTTGCATTCTTTCCGAGAGCCGTTGAGGCCACTTGGAGGTTTTATCTGTGTCCTCACCGGAGTGGCGCAAATGGGTGTGGAGCCTTCTTAGCTGCACAGGGCAGAAAACATCCTGCAGCCAAGAAGCCTCCATGCCCATTTGCACCACTGACCTTGAGGACATAGGTAAACCTCCAAGTGGCCTCAACGACTCTCTCAAAGAATGCAAATGACCAGCTGTCTGGAAGGAGTATAAATCCTTCCCTTCCCCACCATCCAGTCGGAGCTGAAGAAGCTTCTGGGATGAGAAGCGAAACGCCTTCAAAGAAAAACAAGAAAGTCCAGTTGCCTCCTGAAAAAGCACCTTTGGGTCAAGGGCTACCTGTACACAGGTTTTAGTGTGAGATCTGAAAACGTGACCCAAATAATCGCACAACTGAACAGGTAGCAGAGGGACATGATAGCAGTGTTCCAATATCTCAGGGGCTGCCCCAAAGAAGAGGGAGTCAAGCTATTCTCCAAAGCAACTGAAGGCAGGACAAGAAGCAACGGATGGAAACTGATCAAGGAGAGAAGCAACCTAGAACTAAGGAGAAACTTCCTGACAGTGAGAACAATTAACCAGTGGAACAACCTGCCTGCAGAAGCAGTGAATGCTCCAACACTGGAAGTTTTTAAGAGGAGACTGGACAGCCATTTGTCTGAAATAGTATAGGGTTTTCTGCCTGAGCAGGGGGTTGGACTAGATGACC